TAAAATGAGTTAGAGAAGGCAATGGCAAACCACTTGGGCCAAAACAAAGACATTACCTCTAAAAAAACTCAGAAGAAGCCTTTGTCATGTTATTTTCCCATCAGTCCCCAAGGATCATAGAGGATAAAATGGCAGAGGATAGGAAAGCATAAGTGAGTTGCAATCAGCATCTCGATGGAAGCTATACCTATATCAGTAAGATCAGAGTGATTGAAGGACAGGAGAAAAATAATCCACAAAAGCTGATGATCTAATCACCTTGAAACTTTTTACTTTGAAAAGACAATTGTTAAAGATGATTAAGGACAACTCTAAAGAGAATTAATAAGGAAAACAGGTAAAATGAGTTTTTCTTATGCCTCTTAATCTCCATGTTCTTTGGCTCTTCTCTACTTATTTTTCTATAAACCCAACCCAAACCATCTGTCTCCTAGACTGTTGCACAGATTCAGATGACATTCTTTAACTAACTTATAAAGTATAAAAAACAAAGTTGCATCAAATCAAGAAATGGGTTCATTTAAGAAAATTATGGGGAGAGGATCCATACTAAAAGGGAATATTTTGGGATCAATGGTTTAAATTCCTAAAATAGATTGGGGAACTTGCTAATATTGGAACCATTAAGCAAACCAAGAAAAATTAATTACTTCCTCCCATGTTACAAAGAAAAAACAGAAAAAAAAAAATCCTTGATGTCTGTAAATAAAGGTAGACTGCAAAAATAGTGAAAATAACCCTGGATTTGGCACCAGAAGACCTAGATTTGAATCCCAACTCTGCTACTCATTTTCTTCTATCACCTTGGGTAATTCAATCAATCAATGACCTAGAATTTATTAAGAATTTAACGTGTGCTAGACACCAAAGTAGGTATTAGGATTACAAAAACAAAAGTATAACTGGCCCTGCCCTGATGGAGTTTATATTTTGTAAGGAGAAAAAATATGTGCCTGTTTCGGAATAAAACCCCAAACAGGGTCATGAAGAGTATGACATGACTGAAACAACAAAACACATAAATACAAAATACAATACAAATCAATACAAAGTCATTTGGGATGCGGGAAAACACTGGAAGCTTGAGGAATCAGGAAAGATTTTATACAGAAGATGGAGTTTGAACTGTCTTGATGGAAGTTAAGGGTTCTAAGACAAAGAGGTGGGGAGGGAATACATTTCAGCCACAGGGGATGGCTTGTGCAAAGTCAGGGAGACCAGAGATGCAGTGCAATTTGGTTGGACTATAGAATGTATGAAGGGGAGTAATGTGTAATGTAGATAGGAAGATAGGTTGGGGCCAGGTTATAAAGAGCTTTAAACACCAAACAGAGAAATATGTGTTCAATCCTAGAGGCCATGGTTCCAGTGCACTATTTATTGAGCAGGAAAGTGACATGATCAAACTTTTGCATTAGGAAAATCACTTTGGCAGCCATATGGAAAATAGATCGAAGTAAGGAGATCCGAGGAAAGGAGACCAATTAGCAGGCTATTGTAGTAGTCCAGGGGGCAGAGTCAGATATGACTGAAGAGATGGAACAACTATATTTATGACACTCTATAAGCTATGGCATTGAACTTAGCAGTCAAAGCTGTCTGTGTAAAATATTCTTTCTTAGGCATCTTTGATATGATATATCCAAGTTCTATATCCTTCTTCTTCCTATTCTAAAGAATGAGAGTGAATGGGTCATTCCTAACCTGTGGTAGACCCCACCTCTCCCTCCTCTCCACTAACCCAGTGGCCCTTCTATGAATAAAATAATAAATCCTTAATCTCTCATCTGTTCCTCCATTCCATTTATCCATTAATAGTCTCCTAAATGAAATGATTGTAATGAATAAGAACTAAGTATTTAATGACCTACTTCATTTCAAATAACCTGCTGTAAGCCCATGTGATGGGCACAGAGGATCAGCTATGTCCTTCAATGTCTCTATGTCCATAAGCCTTTGCAACAGGCTATGAGGAATGAGGTAATTAAAAATAAAGAATAAGGTTATTATCTGCTTGGCAATCAATCTAACTATTTCTATAGATAGTTCCTAGGCTACGGCCACCCTATAGCAACTACCTGACTAATTGCTCTGGTATGGACTTGGTGATCATAATTGTAATGAAGGCTAACTTCACAGAGAAGCTCACTTTTTAATTGTTTCAGAGTGAACAGAATGAAGCTTAGTTGCATCTGGGCTTTTGGCTAGCCTGCTATCAGAGGGAATGATTTATAGGGTGTGTACATCCAAAAGCTGGGTCAAGAAGAAATAAGTGGATCCGAGCTATCTGCTTTTGTCTGGAACTGTGCCATTAGGAGAGTTGTGCTATGTGACAAACGAATATACACCTCCCTGTATCTCCTCTTTCCTAAGAACTTAAGAATGAGAAGATCTCCTAAAGAACTGGCAATGTATTTTTAAAAGATAAAGATACTGTGATTTCTGCAGAAATCTACAGTAGAAATTACCTGGAAAAACCCAAGTTGTGTTTATTCAATGGTGGCCAATTGATTTATCTGGCTCCAAAGAACCACGTATTCTCTGTGTAAATTTATTAGCCTGCTTCCTTGTTGCTTCATCATGCCATGTTTCTTGTTAACAGGATATTGAAATATCTAATGGAAAAGACTTACTTTATTCAAAATGCAACAATTTTTTCTAAACATTTTGTAACTGTTCACGTCACCCACTTTCTGCCTTAATTTGTTCTGTCCTTATTTTTAAATCTTTTTTCCCCTTAATCAAACATTGCCTCTCATTTGATATTGTGAGGAAATTAACTAAGAGTATTATTTAAAATAATAAGCATTAGAACTTAGATATAGCCTAATCAAGCACCCTCATTTTACAGATGAGGAAATGGATGCTTTTAGAAGTGAAATGACTTGGCATTTCTACCTCTACAACATTCCACAAATCTGTTTCCTCTCTATTCAAACAACCAATAGACTAGTTCAAACCTTTTTCAAATCTAGCCTGGGCTACTGCTTTGTTGTTCAGTCATTTTCAGGCTCATCTGACTTTTCGTGATCCCATTTGATTTTTTCTTGGCCAAGACACTGAAGCAGTTTGTCATTTCCTTTTCCAGCTCATTTTAGAGATGAGGAAACTGAGGCAAACAGGGTTAAGTGACTTAGCCAGGTTCACAAAGCTATTAAGTGTCTGAGGCCAGATTTGAATTCAGGAAGATGAGTGTTACTGACTTCAGGCATTATTTACTGCTCCACTTAGCTGCCTATTAAATACAGTAGGCACTAAAAAATACTTGGGAAATAAAATGTATCAAAGTAATATTTGAATAGTTTTTTTTTCTTTCCTCTGTCCTCTGTTATTCTCTCTTCGACTCATGGTAGCATTCCCTTTTTCCATATTTGTGACTGATCAGTGTCATAATATAGCAACCAAAATAACTCCTTTGATGTAAAGCAGGAGAGCCATAGATAGGGAGAAGGGTACGCTACCTGTATCAGGCCACATATGCAATATTATTCTCAGATTTCGGTGCTCCGTTTTAAGAAGGATGTTGAACAGTTGGAGTGCATCCATAGAAGGGCAATGAGGATAGTTAAGAGCCTCAAAATTAAGTTATTTGAGGATCTCTTGCTGTAACCGGGGGTTGTTTCACTTGGAAATGAAAGAAATTTAGGGTGAATATGACAGCTGCTCTCAAGTATTTGAAAGGCCATCATCTAGAGGAAGCATTACATTTATTCTGTTTGGTGTGAAGAAGAAATTTCAGGGTAGATGTATAGAAAACTTCCTCATAATTACAGCAGAGGGTCTGTGAACTTTAAAATAGTTTTGATTACTGTATATTAACATAATTGGTTTCCTTTGTAATTATATGTAGTTTATTTTAGGCATTTAAAAACATTTTGAGGAGTTCCTAGATCTTACCAAACTGCCAAAAAGGGCCCATGATGCACACAAAAGGTTAAGAATCCCTGAATTAGAAGTGTTCAGAAGCTCAATGGGTTGCCCTATGAGGTAGCGTATTCTCTCTCCCTGAAGGCCTTCAAGTAAAAATTGGGTGACTACTTTTTAGGTATATTTCAGAGAAGTACCTTATAGATAGAAGTATGGGCTAGAATAGTTGGCCTTCCAATGCTACAATTCTATGAATGTGTGAATACAACTCATATTCAAAATATATGATATGACCATTGTTTAGATGCCATGTTTTCTTTCTTTTTTCATCAATTGACATGTTCATTGCTTTCCTGCCTTTTCTATTCAATCCTACATGATCTTCCTAGGCTTATTTTCAGTCTTCTTCTTTCACTTTCCTCTTTTCTTTTTCTCCTTCTCTGACTTCTCATTTTCTGCCTGGTCTACTTACATGTCCTATCTACTTTCATGTGTTTTCTATCTTTTTTTTTTAATTTATTGATTTGACTTTATTTTCTCATTCATGGTACATCTTGTTTTAGTTTTCCCAGCTTCCACCCAAAGGTATCTGAATTTGGAATCTTCATGTATGGATTCATTCTCTTTGACTCAATTTTGGTAGGAAGGAGAAAACCCTTCAGTAGAACCTAAGCTTCTGACAAAGTCATCTAAGAGGGAATAAGAAAGGACATTACATCCAGGAAATGTTCAAGAAAATGAGGGTAGGTAGTTACATAAATGATCTCTATATTTATTCTGACCTATCCTAACCGCCAGATTTCACAATTTTCCTGATTCTTCTCATTTCCCATCTACGCTCCTAGTCCAAGACAGCACACTGAAATTAATTAATCAAAATCCTTCCTAGAATGTCAATTTCTGACCAATATGTCTTCCTGAATATGAATAGGAAATAAAATACCATTTGATGTTTATAATTATGTGTGTAATCTCAATGACGGGAGCGGATGACCAGGTAAGGGTTGGGTATAACTTGATTAACATATTCAGCGTGAGTTTCTGAGGCCTTATAAATCACTATCTGTGGAACAGGAAAATATAGGACCACCAACTCCTTCTGGTGAAACAAGGTACAAGCTACAATCACCACCATGTACACCAAAAGGTCATTGTTGAAAGGTAGGTGCAACTCCTTAAAAATATCCCAATTATTGACTTCTTTGGCTTTTCTTAACATCTCTGTCTCTTTTATATCAGAGTTGATGAGGGTCCTCAGGATGATAGCCTAGATACATGTTGCCCACTCTCTCTTCACTCGGTAGTCATAGTATGAATCTATATAATTGTGCAAAATAGGCCCTTACTAAAAAATTGCTTTAGTTTGAACCACAGTACAGTGTGGAAAAATTACTGTATTTGGAATCAATGAATATGACTTCAAATCATGGTTCTACCTCTTCATATGACCTAGGTAGCTTTTAACCAATCTGAGCCCTAGTTCTCTCATCTGTACAATGAGGGAGTCAAACTGGACAACCTATAAGGACCCTCACTGATCTAGATTTATAATATTATGGTCTTCTATTCCATGGCTCCTAAGTGGTAAGAACTGAACTTCTAGCTCCCCAACATCTGTGATGTTATAGATATTGGCCACAGTAAATTGGAGCTGCTGAAGTTTTCTGTTTCACCCACTTCTTCTGTACTCATGTAGACATAACCATGAGTTGAACAATAAAGCACAAATTTCCTTTGCACAACTGTCTCAATTTCACTCAAATCATTTGTCACCTTGAACAGCAAGTAACTACTGAAGTCATTCCTGGTTTCCTAGATAATTAGTAAGAAAAGAAAAATTGGTAAAATTAGCCCAAATCTATTTTTACTTGCATTATGATAGCTATTCTTTGATAGAGGAATTTTCTCTATTAGGCATTCATTATACCAATAAAATCATAGTAAAAAAAAAAACAGCTAAATAAGGGAAACCGTGATGAAGTCAAGGGATAAAGGCCTTTGAGTCAGTAAGATCTGGCCTTCACTAAGATGTGGATTCAAATCCTGCCTTTGACACTTATTAGCTGCATGCATGATCATTGGCAAGTTATTTAACCTCACACTACCCCAGGCAATTTTCTAAGACTATGTTATAGATAAATTGCCAATATGCATACATAGAGGGTGTTTCCCATGCCAGGAGTTCCCTATCCCAGTCAAATCAAAGGTCTGGGTCACCCTCCCCTCAAAACAAATAAACAGATGCCAGCTAAAAGTTAACATATTAATGTATAAGTGAAAGTATAAAAGTTAGAAATAATGAATTAACTGTACATTTCCTGGGTTCCAAATTTCCACTGTCTCTGTAATATATGTTATATGTGCTATATTACTGGGAACTTGTTTTTCTTTGTATATAATATATGTAGATACTTAATTATTATCTCAGAAGTTTCAAGTTTTTGAAAAATAAAAACTCTTATTCTGCACTAAAATATCTCAATATTTTAAGTTAGAGGGTTTCTTCTTAATGGGATATGCATACTGTAGAATTTTCCAAATACAAACCTTTAGTGTTTATCTAATTTTCTCTGGGACATTTTCCACCATCTATATTATGTTTCCTGGAAACTTTTGCTTCAGATAAAAATATTGGTTTATCAGATGGTATGGATAAGTTTCACTAAAATTATGAAACAATATTGTTTTAACAGTTTATCTAAAGGGATACAACAATCCCTGTTAACATGTCACAATACTCATATCCCATATATTCTTGCGTATTTTTGTCACTCATTCGTTCCTTCCCATCTTCCCCTGAAGCACAATGCCCTCTTTGGTGGTTATTTAGGAAGTAAAATAGTTCAATGGGAACTAAAAGAATGGATTTACTCAGTTTTTCAGAATTTCTGGCATATTCTATAAGCTAAAATTTTGCCTTCTACAAGTAATACCAGTGACCTTTCTAAAAATCCCTTACCCACTAGAATCTCTCATACATTTCATGCAACCCAGCTCTAACTTCTTGTAACTACGTTTTAGGGCCATGTCTATATCAGGCAGGGGGATTAGACCCCAGTGAGTTGTAGCTGATACTAACAAAAAAAACAAATAAATTATGTAATGATTATTCCTCTTGGTTTTTATGATAAAATAAGCAGGTTGGTTGTCCCAATTCCTCTTTATGTCACGAAACTTAACTGTTGCAAGTATTGAACAACACAGGGTTAAATTTGCAAATAGCTACATAGCACAGCTGCTGGAAATTTTCTGCAGGAATTCCCAGGACATTAAACTATCTTCAGAGAATGACCTGGACACCCTGCCTCAAAACTAATTTAAGCTCCAAATGTTTGCAAAGAATAGAAGCACTCTCGGGAGCAATACAAAAATGCAGGGAGTGACCTACTTCTCAAACTGTATATATGTGCAAATATAATTATAGATCTAAATTTACACAGAGAAAGGTGTTGGCTTTCCCCCCAGCTATTACAGTGCCAAATGATAAAGCAGAGCACATTGGTAAGAGATAACACTCCATATGACTCCATTACTTTCAATAACGTTTTCTGGATAGATCATTCTAAACATGTCCATTTTCACCCATGCAGGATCATTACTGCTATTGCTGCTCATGTCAAGCGTCCTCTTGTCAAGGAGCGTGGAATCTCTGCCCATCTGTCCCAGTGGAGCTGTCAACTGCCAGGTGTCCCTTAGCGACCTTTTTGACCGTGCAGTCATGCTCTCTCACTACATCCACTCTCTTTCCTCAGAAATGTTCAATGAATTTGTAAGTATCTGTTCCATCCCAGAATGACCCCTCATCTGAACTCTGGGACAACTGAACTTTAAAACACCAAACAAAAACCTCACAAGTCAAAAGTAGTCAATGGGAAACATCCATGGCTAACGCTAAGAACAGAGCCACTGGAAAGAATAAGGCTGTTTTGAAGTTATGCCAGCCACCTGTTAATGTTTACTCATTAAATGGATTTCCTCCTACCACTTACCTCCTCTAGTCCCATCAGTTATATCTCATGGATCCCCACACCTGCTTTTATGAAACTCTGGATATCCCCTAATCATTCTAAATTAGTGATTTTTTTTCTGGAGAGATTTAATAAATTAAACACAAACTTTATTTAATTCACTTTTTATGTGCCACAGAGTACTTTCATAGCCAGGAGGAGGGAGGAAAGGATGTCAGGAAGTCAAAAAACAATGGGACATAAGAAATCCCAAAACATTGAGAATCACAGTTCTAAAAAAAGTTTTCTAATTACAGTAATAGGGTTAGCTAGGGTTATTAATAGTAGAGATAGGGAAGAGAATTCTGTTCTCTTTCTGATTGAGCACTTTTTAAAAGTCCTATGTTATCACTTGTAGGCAAGCTAAATACCATCTCCCATTTTATGGTTTCGTTGAATTCAGTGATATCTGAATGAAAATCTGATTCAATATTTACTGTATGAATATCCATGGTTCTACTGCTTTTCTTCCACCTTCTGGTTTTTTGGGTTTTTTGTACTATCCCTTTGCTCTTCCAAGTCTTAAAGTTTCATATTTTTGTGAAGATTTTGTAAAAGTGAATTTATCTTTGGAAATACTTTCACTATATCTTGTTTTTTTTCCATCTTTATGATTACTCAGGTTTTGAAAATCATTTGCTAAAAAGGTTTTTCCATCTGCTTCTGTCCTTTACCTATTATTTCATAATCATCAACTGTAATAAAACTTTATTCAGAAGTCATATACTAAGAAGCCATTAATTCCTGCATCCTGACAGCAATACTTAGATTTGGTATTTGGGTGAGGAAAAATGAAAATATGGAGATAATTGGAAAATAAGTTGGAAAAGACACTATCTACGTTATTTTTAGCTTAAATTTCTTCATTTTATTCTAAAAATAATTGCCAATCTATCATAGCTCCTAGCCTGCTAATCATTTCATTTGGTACATTAATAACCAAAATTAATCAGTTTGTTTGGACACCTCTAGGATGAACGGTATGCCCAGGGCAGGGGATTCATAACCAAGGCTATCAATAGCTGCCATACTTCTTCTCTTTCTACTCCTGAAGACAAAGAGCAAGCTCAGCAGATCCACGTGAGTCCTATTTCCAATTCATTAACAGGGACAATAGGGAGGAGCACAACTGATGATCATAGATTTGAAGCCAGCAGGGAGCTCACTAATCATCTCATACAACTCCCTCATAATATAGATGCTCCAAGGGTGACTTGTCCAAAGTCAAATGGGTACAGAGAGGCCAAGCCAAGGCTTGAACTCAAATTTTATTATTCCAAATCCAGGGTAATTTTCACTGCATTGTGCTTACTCACATAATTGTAAATAGTTCTTTATATGTATGCATTATGGTACATGGTATTTCAAACTATAGGATCATAGATATTAAACTGGAAAGGTCTTCAGAGACCTTCTATTTATGACATTCATGTTTACAGAGGGGAAATTTTATCAGAAAATGATTGAGTATTATAGCCATCTCCACTAAAGTCTTATACCAGTGCTTCCTTGTTGTATGAAAGTAACTTTGGGTTCTTGCAATCAAACTCTCCAACCTGACTAGAAGGGTCTCCTAGGCAACAAGATGGGGCAGAGGATCGGTCTAGAGTTAGAAAGACTTGAATTCGTATTTGGCCTCAGACCCTAGCTGTGTGACCCTAGACAAGTCATTTAACCACTGTCTACCTAAGTTTCTTCAACTAAGTTTCTTCAGTGAGGGTGATAATAACACCTACTTCCCAGGATTGAGTATCAAAAGAATAATATATTTGTAAAACTCTTAGCACAGTACCTGGTACAAAGGAGATGCTTAATAAATGCTTATTTCCTTTCTTCTTTCATTCCCTCCTCCACAAAAAAAGAGAGCATGGTTTTGATTGCTTATCTTGTCTCTTTTAACTAAAAAGTCCTTTCTCCCCCTCTCCTTCAATCTAAACCTTACATTTGCCCTGAATTATTAAGGAACTCAAGTTATGCTCAGTCTCCAAAAGCACAGGCAAATCCACCGGACCCCAAATGATTCAGTCACTGAACAGAGGAGACACAAACAAAAGTACAGTCCCACCCTCTTGTCTTTTTAAATAGAAATTCAAAGTGAGGAAGGTGTACTTTTTACTCCAGGACCTTCTACTTTAAATAAAAAAAAATAATAAAATATTTTATTATAATTATCAAAATCAAAAGTATGCTATAATTTTATATTACTTATTTGTTATATTATACACTATATATCATTAGAATTTTATATAATTTAATTTTAATATTATAATAATCAATTATATAATAATTGTATTATCATAATTTATTATTATTATTATAACAATAACTGACATTCATATAATGCCTACTATGTGCCAACAGCACTATGGGCTTTACAATTATCATCTCATTTGATCCTGGGAGGTAGTTTTCTGTTACATAGAATAATTATTTCCTTGTCATCATGAAGCTCTCTTTTTTCCATTTTCCCAAATTTTAAAATTATCTCCATACACAATAAACCATTTGGAGTTCTCAAGGCAGCTGCGTGCGACAGTGGAAATATTGCTATATTGGGAGACAGAGGATCTGATTTCAAATCTTAGTTTAGCTCCCTACTGCCTGTGTGACCTTAGACAAGTCACATATCTCTGGGCTTCAGCTCCCTCAAATGTAAAATGAAGGGTTAGGACTAAATAACCTTGAAGGCTCCTTTCAGCCCTAAATCTATGCTCCTAAGATTAGATTGAGAAAAGGTCATGCTTCTCCCATAGGGCCAGTTTTAATGGTCTCCTCTTGATGTCACTACACAGCATGAAGACCTCCTGAATTTAGTGCTCAGAGTCCTGCGCTCCTGGAATGAGCCCCTGTACCACCTGGTCACTGAAGTGCGGAGTATGCAGGAAGCCCCTGACACCATCCTCTTGAAAGCCATGGAGATTGAGGAGCAAAACAAACGACTTCTAGAAGGCATGGAGAAGATAGTGGGTCAGGTGAGAGGAACCCTTATTTCTTCCTTATTTCCTTCCTTTTCCCATTAATGAAAATAAAAGGCAGAATGGTGTGAGGGAACTGGGGATAGGTGTGGAAAACAAGAATGCCCTTCCTCTTGTCCAGGAAGAATGCTTCTACCCACCTTTTTCTATTATCTTAGCCGTTAGAAAAGTAGGAGGCTGGAGAAAGCCAGCAGCCTGGCCATCAGAGCTCTTTGTCATAGCTTTGCTCTCAGCTCACTGCACCATTTAAACAAGTCATTCAACAGTGGCCAGAACTCCTCTGTAAGCAACTTCTACACTGCTTGGAGACCTACATGTAGAGAGAAGTCCACCAGGATATGGAGGGATGGGTACTGGTGGGTTGGAAAGGGAGGCCTTTTACAAGGTTTAGCTTGAGGCACTAACATAAGGGTTTTTTTTTTTTTTTGGTTTGTTTTTTTTTGTTTTTTTTTTGGAGAGGCAATTGGAGTTAAGTGACTTGTCCAGAGTCACACAGCTAGTAAATGTTATGTGTTTGAGGCCGGATTTAAAGTCAGTTCCTTCCTTAGCTTTGTCCATCTTTCATTTGTCTGGAATCCTAACAAGACGGGGAGTATTTACCTGGTGGAAGCACCCCCTCCCTCCCTCAACCCTAACATGTACATTGAGCTCACGACCCCTTCCTAATTCCTAAGATTCAAGGACTTTGTTGTCAATACTTACCTGTCCCTCCAGCCCAATCCAGGATTCTCAAGGATTGGGGAAAATATTGGGAAAAAACTTGGGAAAAGGTTGAGGATCTCTAGCCTAGAAGTCTTCTCATTTACCTTCTCAATCTTGAATATTTCAACAGGTCTTATTAATCATTATTACTAGATGGTTAAAATTTAATGTTTATTGTTATTAGCAATAACATAACAATAACTTATATTTTCATTGCATTTTTAGGCTATGCCAATGAGGGAAGCAGAACAGTTAATCTGTGGGCCAGAAAGGCAGAATCTGCTACTAGTAGAACTAATGAACGCACCAATTTCCTTTCTCTTCTGAGACTGCTTATAGATGGCATATCTTAGCAGGGAGAGTCAGAAACTCTGGATGAACATAGAATTATAGAAAGTGCATGATATTGCAGGAGAAAATTGCCTGAAGAGGGTGAGAGAAACACAGAGAGAATGACCAGATGGCAACGGAGAAAAAATGAAACAGGGAGAGAGCAAGGCAGCCTTTGAGGTTCTGTTCTTCCTGGGTGATGATCTCTTTGGGACTCTGTTTTCCCACCATCTCTTTGGGACTCTGTTTTCCCCTGCATTACACATGTCCTGTGTGCCTGGTTGTACCTCAAGTAGCCAGAAGTCTGGGACTCAGTAAACACTGAACAGTTGGTCAATCACAATTCTATTGTCACAAAAACAACAAAAACCCTATCACCAACAATACCTTGGCCCTTCCGTATTGTCTCAAATGTAACTGTGTCAAAGGTCAAGGTCCTTGACATTTCAGTTTACAAAGTGATTCTATATATATTCTCTTAAGACAATTGGGCCAGGTAGCACTCACCATCATTATCCTCACTTGACAGATGGGAAGACTAAAACAGAGGATAGTAGAAGCTTAACAAATGCTTGTTGAAAGACAATGATTTTCTCTAAGATTGTACATTAAGGGAACAGCAGAGGTACTCTGTTTAAATCAAAGTCCTCTTTTTCCAGTGACAGTGCTCTTATTATCATAGCATGTAGTTTCTTCAACACTTTAAAACTTGCAGGACACTCATCTCATCACCTTCACATGTGAACTGTGCTATACAAAGAATAACTAGAACAGGATTTAAACATCAACAAGATAAAAGTTAAGAAATCGGACAAAAGACCAAGGACCAAGCATTGCATATTCCAGGGAAGTAGGAGCCACCCAAATAGAGTAAGAGTGAAGAGCTCTTTCAGACCTCTCATGGAAATACCAAAGTCTATATTTAATAGCAACACATATTTTTGAGCCCTCACCTATATTCCACCCGTCTCCTCCTATACAAATAAACTTCATTTCCAAGCATGCAAAGGCCAGGCCAGTCAAATATGCAAATAAAAAAAGAGAGGAAATCATTGAGTAAGATATTTCGCTCCAGGTGCCTAGTGATAGTAGAACCATTTAGTAATAATAATGGACGAGTCATCGATTTAAATAGAGTCTTAGGAGTCATGTGGGCCAGCCATCTTATTTTATAGCCAAGGAAACTGAGGCCTAGAGAGGTTAAATGACTTTCCCAAGGTCACACAGTAGTAAATAACAGAGCTGGAGCTTAAACCCAGGTACTGTGATTCCAGTTTCTCTCAATTATAGTGCACAACCTCCAATGTTAGACCAACAGTCCATAAGGACACCTTAATATATTTAGCCTAAAGGATTCTCTACGCTTAGATCTTTTCTCTGTATTTTGCTGATTAGTCTATCAAGGGAAATAAGGAGAAACCAAAAAAAATTAACAAATCTTCCTGTTGCCTTTTGTGATTCAGGTTCATCCAGGTGACAGAGAAAATGAGGTCTACTCTGCCTGGTCAGGACTTCCATCCCTACAGATGGCTGATGAGGACACTCGTCTCTTTGCATTTTATAATTTGCTACACTGTCTACGCAGAGACTCACACAAGATTGACAACTACCTGAAGCTCCTGAAATGTAGGCTCATTCATGACAGTAACTGCTAAGCCAACCCCAAAACAGTTTCACTGCCCTTACTGATTCCTCCCTTGCAGAGACCTTTCTAGCTTTCTTGCTTCATAATATATGTTTTTTTTCTGAAATGGTTCTCATATATATATATATATATATATATATATATGTATGTATGTATGTATGTATAAAGACGTTCCTAGAGAATTCTAATTGGCTACTTCATCTTAAAGATACATGAAGCCAATTTGCCCAAATTCATTGAATGGCAAATCAGAGGTAAAACTGCCATTACTCTCTAATGATTCATGCTAGCTGTATCATTAAAGGATTGAGAACCACACTTTGCATATTGCACAAATAAACTATTGTCAAAGAAAACAAGTGTAAAGTGTTGCAAATATTTCGGGGTCATATCTTGCCTGATCATTCTGTTTGGAGGTAAATCATAAGATCATAGATTGAGAGCTAGAACAGACTTCAGAGGGCAAGTCACCTTAGTTCCTCCTTTTATAAATAAGGAAACTGGGGGAGGTTAAATTACTTGTTCAAGGTCACCTACGTAGTAAGCAGCAGATTTGGGACTCAAACCCAGGTCTACTGACTCTAACTCAATTACTCAAATATTTAGTCCACCCTGTGATATCAAACCATGTTCAATAGCGTAGCCCTCAACCCACTAAGATGTGGAACAATGTAAGCACCAGGAAACTGGCATCCAGATGACTTGAAAATGAGATGAAGGGATGAAAGGATCTTGGTGTGTGTGGCCATGTGTGGGGTATGCATGTGTGCATGCATGTGCATGCCTGCATGCCTGCTTGTCATGAAACATCACTACAACCTATCCTTTTCACTTAGAGGCCTGTGAGGTGGGATGCCGCCTCAAACCCAGCAGGACAATTTCTTTTGTTGTGATTCAAAAGAATTCTGGTATCATAGGTATGAAAAAGATCTTGGAAGTTATGCAATTCTATTCCATTAAACACACACACATTTGTCAAATGACTATCATTGGCAAGGCACTACGCTTGATCCTAGAGATATAAAAATAAAAACAATACAGTTTTTGCTTTCAAACAACATACAGGGCGATAAATATAAGTAAAACGAAAAACAAAGGATAGTGAGTACAGAGGTGAGGTCCAAATTAGTGCTATTCTGAATGTGAGGAAAGAGAATGCTTTCAATTGGAGATAGCAGGGAAAGTTTTCTTTAGAAGAGGGAATTTATGAGGGTGATCATGAGACAGAGTAGAGAGCTAAAGCAGTAGCTTAAGGAGGGAGCATGGAAGAATTACAAAATTTCAGGGTCAGAAGGAACTTCTGAGGACATGCAGGCCTGAACCTGAACATCCCCATCAAGTGGTCGATTTTTACAGGAAGACCTCTAGCAAGGGGGAACTTTGTATTTCCTGAGGCAGTCTGCTCCACTTCTGAATAGCCCTTATTGTTGGGAAGAATTTCCTTATGGCAAACTTAAATCTGTTTTTCTGCCACTTCCACTCAAGACTCATGGTCCTTAGCGCCCAAGGGGCTGAGCAGAACAACCGTAATCCTTCTGTGGCATTGCAACACTTCAAATGCTTGGAGACAACTCTCATGTCTCCACTTAACACCCCCACTTCTGAAGGCTAACCATCCCCTGTCCACAGGACTGTAGAGTTAGAGATTGAAGAGACCTCAAGGTTCATCAATTCACAGATCCTTTACCCCAACCCCCAACAACACCACCGTTTTTACATAGGGGAACAAACAACTTATGAAGGTCTCGAAGATAAAAATGACAGAGCCAGTATTGATTTGAACCTGAGTCCCCTCACACCAATTTTTCTCACTCCACCGGGTTATCTGCTTTTCCTTTAGTTGATTCTTTTTGGTATTGTCTCATGGACAGCTACGCAGTGCAGTGAATACAGTGTCATCTTCCTGAATTCAAATCTGGCTTCAGACACTTACTAGCTATGTGACCCAGGGCAAGACACCTAACTTGGTTTGCCTCAGTTTCCTCATCTGTAAAACAAGCTGAAGAAGGAAATGGCAAACCACTCCAGTATCTTTGCCCAAAAACAAAACAAAAAATAAACAAATAAAAAAATGGGGTCACAAAGTCGGACCCGACTGGAACGACTGAACAACAACTAGACCTTTTTTCGTCCTCTAAATTTTTTCAGATTTTCAATGTTGTTCCAAGAAGGTGAAACCAAGAACTAAATATAATACTGAAAATAAGCTCTAATTTTGATAATGTACAATGGGACTATCATTTCCCACATTCTGGACACTATCTCTAGATTCAGCCTTAGCGGTATTGAGCATCATGTCACACTGTTCCATATTAGCCAAACAGTCTAATAAAGAATCCAGATCTTTTTCACTTGAACTCTTATCTATACCTGTCTTTCACCATCTTGTATACTTGAAGTCGAATTATTTGAATCCAAGTGTCATACTACACATTTATCTCTACTAAATTTTGTCTTATAACATTTGGAACATTATCATAGCCTATTAAAAAAAAAAAACTTTTTGGAACTTGACTCTGTAATCCAACATGGTAGCTATGTATTCCAGGTTAGCATCATCTGCAAATTTAACATATCCATGCCTTCTTCCAAGGCATTAATAAAAATGTTAGTGATGTAGGATCAAATACACATCTCTCAAGCACTCCATCTCCTTTTGATCAAGAATCAGGTCTAGACTAGCCATTCCCCTCACCATTTCCTCCATCTTCTGAGGAATGAAATGATCATTAAGGCAAGAAGAATTTACTAAACCTGAACATCTTAGTCAGGGAGAAAAGGATCCAGTGAAAGACAGGGGATTAGTAGAGATAGTGCTGGCTAAGGTGGCAGTAGAGATTCAAATCCCATCTCTGACATTTACTGCTACTTGGGCAATCACAACTACACCATTCTGAGACTCAATTCTTTTTTTTTCATTTAGGCAATATGGGCCTGGCTGGGCACCTATAGTTCAAAGTTATTGTGAAAGTCAAATCAGACCATGAACACTGCGAACCTCAAACTGCTATAAAAATGTCAGCCATTATTGTTACAGTGAAAGACAAAGGGAAAGATTGATAGAACAGTATCCTGGAGGCATTGAAAGGTGATGAGATCAAAAGCACAAGTAGAAAGGTTAACCTTGACAAAAGGGAAACCACTTCATCCTTTGAGACTGGAGAGAAGAAGGAGAAGACATATAAAGACAGGCTTTGAGGTGAAGGGGGTTATATGGTACAAGTCCCTGCCTCCGAGGATGAAATTCTTCTACAACCTCTGAAAAATAGTCAAATAAAAATGTTGAAATACAGTTTAGTTGTGTAAAGATATTTTCTTAAGATACTAAGAAAGGCCAAGCTAAAATTAGTTGGCTTTGCAAATTATATAACCTTATGGATACAGGAATTCACAAATAAAGAAATCCCTAGTTGCCTTGTATTTTAATATATTATCATCAACTAATCTAGTGCTATTGAGAAATTTACATTTCATAATGGAGCTGGCCCTGAAGTGTTTACCATATAAAGGTCTGACTGACAGCAAGCAAAATCATGCAAAAACAAACACAGAGTAGTGATAGAGTTATAATTGAGAAACTTTCTCTTCCCAGGGAAATTAAAAAGGAGATAAAGGAGAAGGGAAATTCAAATATCTATGATCCATGCATCTAGGCTACCCAGCAGGCTTTCAGCTAGGAGCCAAGAGAAGCTCAAAGAGCACCTGAGATTACCATCTATCTACCATACCAGATTTCCTCTCCAGTTCCCTTCATTCAGATCCACCCTACCTCTTTCCTTTCTTTCCTCCTCTCCATCACGAAATCTGACTCAGGTGTCTCCACCCACTGAGGGTGTTTGCTTCCTATCATACTCCCAAACTCTTTCCCCCCACACAAAAACTGGCTGGAGGAATCAGAGATCCAGATGGATCCAAACGACTCCTGTGGGAATGTGATACAGTATGATACAATAGAAAAGAGATCTGTGTTTGGAGCAAAAGAACTTAGTTGCTTCATCCATAAAATGAGAGGAGTGTGGACTAAATGACCTTTAAGGTCTCCTTCGGTTCTAAACCTATGATCCTATGATCAAGTCACTTAACCTCTGTGGCCTCAGTTTCCTCATCTGTAAAATGAAAGAGCTGAACTAGGTGACCTCTGAAGTCCCTTTCATCTCCAAATCCATAAAACAATGAAACTTTGATGATGTGTCAAAGTCATGTAATGAGACCAGGATTGCAACAGCTTTTCAGATATAGTTCTACAAGGGGTTTGATTGCTTTGCTAAATAAAACTGAATTATGCCAGTTATCATCCTTATTCTCTATCAAACACAGTTTTCAAAAGGTGGGAGAAATCTTATTGATGAACATAAAGAAGGCTGAATCAGATGGATGGACCCTGCTAAAAGAAAAATAACCTTAGGAACTCTTCTCTAAACAATATAGATTTGGAAGAGAAAGTTACTGGTGCACTCATGTTCCCAAGCTACAGTCTAGCAATGTAAAAGAATTATACGCTTATTTGGGCAAAGGGAATTGTGAAAATATAACAGTTCCCTAAATAATTCAACATGCTACCTACCACTCTATTCCTAGTAATACCTCATGCTAAAAAACGAATGACACATTTCCTTCAATCTGCACATATATTTCAGGATTTTTGTTGTTTGCTGTTCTGTTTTTTTTTTTTTTTGGTGGGGGACAGGGGTTCTATAGTATTGATGGGAGTTGGTAAGGTAAGGCAGTTAGGTAGCCCAATGGATAGAGTTCTGAACTTGGAGTCAAGAAGACACAAATTCAAATCCTACCTGTGGTATTTACTAGCTCTGTGACATTGTACAAATTACTCTACCTCTTCCAACTCTAGTTTCTTCATCTGAAAAATGGGAATAACAATAGCACCTACCTTCCAGAGTTGTGAAGGTCAAATGAGATAACATGTAAAGCATTTTGCAAAAGCTGAAGTGCTATATAATTTCTAGCTAACATTATTATCTGCATAAATGCCTCAATTTTCCAAGTTTTGTT